TATCAACACTGTTTTCAGCACAAATCCAAAGCATAGCCCCATACCAGCTACTATAAAGAAAATTAACTGTATCCCAGCCAAAACCAGCACAAGGTGTCTGGTTGCTCTTGCTCAAGCTAGGACCCATGTCCCCTTCCCTCTCCTTCTTACCATAGATCATCACATGCTCACTCCCTTGTCTCTCTCCTACTATCCCCTTACTGGGGTCCCAACTACGGTCTCTTAACCGCTTACACAATGTCCCGTGTTGTTAGCTCCGTGCTCTCTCATTTATTCCTTCTTACCTGTGTCAGACAGAAACAGATTGTGGCACATGTACCTCCTGCCAGTGCTGAAGCACATAGGAGAGTGGGTGCAGGAGCCGTGGCCTGGCACAGCCCAGATGAGGCTGATCAATGGTAATTGTGGGTGTATAGATAGTTCTCCTGTGGTTCATGTAGAGTTTGGAAGTTTTGCTGCCAATGCCTGTTGCCAGTACACGTCTTTGAAGTGGATTACATACCACGAATGTATCCTGTCCCCAGCAGCTCTGAAACCTTCAGACTACACTAATACAATTACAATGGCTGTAATAGCCTACTGTCTGGTTCTGTGTTTAGAGAAGTCTGGTATCAGTGCACATCTTTGTTTATCTGTAATTGTACATTAACAGAGAGTCTGGAAAAATGGTACTTGTTATTGTTTCAGACATTCTTTATAAGTCTTTTTATTGTCAACGATCCTTAGAAAGAAAAATATTGTGGCAAAAGAGTTATGTTGGATTTATATTATTCTTTGGGACCAGCAAAATCTCTTCCAGTCATATTTTATCTCCTTGTCCGAACTTGTGTTTGGAAGCATGCAAAGATCAGGGATTAGAGGAAGGAAATTAAAATGTCAAAAGGAAAATGTAATTAACTTTATCATAAAAGCTTTTGAATTCTTCTGTATTATGAAGAGGCAGTACCCATAGCTCTTCGAATGTGCTAAGTATAATACTACACTACTCCTGGAAGTCATGCAGTAAAATTTGAAATGTAGCTTCTTCAAATAAGTTAAGCAGTATGGTATTGTACATCCTATCCTATGCAGAGAACATGCAGGTCTGCTTCCTTAGTCACCTGAGGGAATTTGGTTTCAGTGAATAAAGAAGGACATTTTCTAAAATGGCAACAACGGAAAAGAATTTCATAGAATCACAGAAGGGTTAGGGTTGGAAGGGACCTTTAAAGGTCATCTAGTCCAACCCCCCTGCGATAGGCAGGAACATCTTCAACCAGACCAGGTTGCTCAGAGCCCCGTCCAACCTGACCTTGAATGTTCCCAGGGATGGGGCATCTACCACCTCTCTGGGCAACCTGTGCCAGTGTTTCACCACCCTCATTGCAAACAATTTCTTCCTTATATCTAGTCTGAATCTACCCTCTTTGAGTTTGAAACCATTCCCCCTTGTCCTGTCGCAAGAGGCCCTGCTAAAAAGTCTGTCCCCGACTTTCTTATAAGCCCCCTTTAAGTACTGAAAGGCTGCAATAAGGTCTCCCCAAAGCCGCCTCTTCTTCAGGCTGAACAACCACAACTCTCTCAGCCTTAAGAATGATCTTGACATCATTTTCTTCACATTACTGTGGACTAAACTTGTCTTCCTTAGTTCCTCCAAAGATACAGCGTGGGCCTCGAGTTTTGAAAGTCCAGGCTGGCCACAGAGTTGACATACCCTGCAGTGCCCAGGGGATCCCTCCCCCAACAATCACTTGGTTCAAAGGCAGAAGTGCTGTGCCGATAGATGGTGGGCAGTTTATCCACAGCCTGGATGGAGCTCTAAGCATCAGCAACGTCCAGCTTCCCGATGCCGGAATCTACAAGTGTGTCGCTAATAACGTAGCGGGTAGTGACGCGTCGGAGATAACCGTACAAGTTCAAGGTATTTATGTTAGGGCTGTAATCTTGCCTCCTGCCCTGGCTAGGTATAATTTCATACCAGTGCTGTCTGGTTTATGTTTTGGAGAGCAATGCTCTTTGCTGTTGACTGGTACATGATGCAAAATCCAAATCTGTTTTAGATGTTATGTTCTGATGTTAATTAAGGAAAATTAGAATAGGCAAATAGTCTTTGGAGAGTTTGCAGAAACAAGAAAAAGAAACTCAAAATATATTACTTTTTTTTTTTTAATAAAAAAAAAATCATCAAGCTACTTACGATTTGGGTTTGTAGTAGGTAATTAAAATCAGATTCCAGTATGGGAAACCTCTTTTTCAAATATTATCTCCATGTGTTCAGATGTCTCACATTTTCAGTGACTGTCTCTGAACCTCAAAGCCTGGTGTCACAGCTTTGAATGGAACTGGAATTTTGCATGAGCTGAAGTTGAGCTCTTCGCTTAGTTAGTATGCTATTGAAATGGTGATGGGGCAACAATGGTCAACGTGCCAATTTAAATATGTAGTATAATTCCTCACTTGATGGGCTGACATATATCAATGTAGCATGAGTAACATAAACTAAGCAGGAATTATTTCTTCTTTGTAACAGTTAAAGGCAACATTCCGATCCTTTTGGGTTAGAGGTGCTGAGAACCGCTTGTTACAAACAACAAAGAACTGCCAGTAACTTTATTTAATTATAAATAATATTCTTTGTATAGTCTCAGTCCGCACACAAGTTTAAAATGAGATGCAAGAATAAAGGATGGAAGTAGTACTAATATGTGGTATGAGAAAAAACAGCTTAAATAGTATTTTTCAGATTTTGCAGAAACACTGTCTCTACCTGCAAAACAAATATAGCGGGTTTGAGAGAGAACCAGTTTCAGTCAAATTTGAAAGCCTCTTTGTACTGCTTACTTCCTAAATATTCCCATTGACATCAGGACTGCTTGTGTAGTACACTTCATCAATGTAAAGGGGGTTTATTGGAGTCTCTCCTTGTGTGAAGGAGAGACACTTAGAAGTGTTATGTATTGCCAGACTGTATTTTCACATTTGGAAGCAGAGGTCAAGAATTTTATTGGGGTCTAATTTTCCTTCAGAGTCTCCTACTATTGATGATCTGGACCCTCCATACAATAATCCCTTTCAAGAAAGAGTGGCAAATCAACGCATTGCATTCCCATGCCCAGCAAAAGGTGCGTATCATTGTTACCACCTTACGTGACAAAAGTATATTTTTCTGTTGACCATTGAAAATTACTAAGTTTCTGTGTACTCCTTGTCATGGTAAAAATGTACAGTATTTTCCATATATACTTTATGTGGAAAAATTCAAACTAACAGCGATTTAAATAACCACCATGTACAGAAGTTCTGTGAAAAGTCATTGCTAGCCAACAAGGATATTATAATGTTTAGGACTAAGATTTTTAATGTTAAAATCATATTGTAACAGTCGGGGCTTCCTCTAAGTTTGAAAGCTCATGGCCTCCCTGTGCATTGTTCTTGCCAGTAAGACTTCCAGCAAGCAGTGGGAATTGTTTGAATCTTTCTTATCCTGAGCTGAGCGAACCGTTTCTTGAAGTTTCACCGTTTTCTTGTTAGGTGTTCCAAAGCCTGTCATCAAATGGCTACGTAATGGAAGAGAGCTGACAGGCAGTGAACCAGGGATTTCAATTCTGGATGATGGGACACTGCTGATTATAGCTTCTGTTACACCTTCTGATAATGGAGAGTATATCTGTGTGGCAACCAATGAAGCTGGAAGCACAGAAAGAAAATATAACCTGAAAGTTCATGGTAAATACTAAATACAACTGTTGGGGAACTGTTTTTGAAGAACATCTTCTATTTTATTGTTGGAAATTGCATGCCCCAAATCTGCCTTTGTGCAGTTAAATTATAAAACCTCATAAACTTGCATTTCTATTATTCTGATACTCTCTGTATTTTTTCTATTGTTTCTGTTCTCTGTGACTTTATGCACAAACCATCTGTGTTTTGCTCAAAGAGCTAGATGCATCTCATTTGTGGAGGGCTCTAGTTGTACTTGAAAACTTTAATGCAAATAACAAATGAAGACTTTTGTACTGTAGAAATTAAAGATTGGGTGATAGATCTGCGTTTCAAATCTAAATATGAGAAAAGTTATTTGTCAGAATGAACATAGAATACGAGAATTCTTGCTCCTGATATTCTTCTTCCAGAATCCTAATTGGAAAACAGAAACTCTACAGGTGGCCTTGAGATACGTTTTGATATTTTGCTTCTTACAGAGTACTTTTATGCCAGCCTATTCACTTCCCATGACAGTTAGTTCTGATGCCTGAGCAGGATTATATCCTTATCTTTATTCTGAGAAAAGAGGAATTCCATCTTGTGTGAGCAGGGCTCATCAGTGGGGTTTGAACTTTCTAATCCACCAGATAAGGCCATTCTTTTTGCATTCATAGTGGGACAAATGATAGGCAGATGTTCTTGGAGATGACTGGAGCAGTGAAGAGGAAGGATGACTCTCTGGAATCTGCTTCCTTTATATGCCAAGCAAATAACGTGGGATTTTAAGATTAAGATTAAATTTAAGTTTAAATAAAATTAAATTTAAGATTAAATTTTAAGATTATTCTCTTCAAATGTTGATGGTGATTGTGTTTGAGTGAATTTCCCTGGGAGTCTGTTATTGGGCAAGAGGAGACTGTTTTCTGAGAAAGAGAAGAAAGGGCACAGGGAGATATGTCCAGAGCCAAAAGGCAAATGGAAACGTTGGGGAGGGAATGAAAAAAGTATGAGAAATTCAGATTACAGTGGTCCTTGACTTGGGGGGAAGGAGGAAGTGGGGAATCACTGGAATAGAAGCCTTAATACATGACTTTGAGCTTTCTTGTAGTTCCTCCTGAAATTAGAGATCAAGAAAAGGTGACAAATACATCTGTAGTTGTTCATCACTCTGTAAGTCTCTTCTGCGAAGTATCTGGTAACCCCTTCCCAATCATCTCCTGGTATAAAGAAGATATCCAGGTATGTACGATTAACCTACTTGAAGTAACATAGCCATCGTCAGTCAGTTTTGTGTTGACTTTTGAGTGCTTGGTATGAGAACTCATTTAAAGTAAATACATGTGCATGCCTTTATGTATATTTAAACTGCACTAAGAACACCCACACAGAAAGCCAGCTAAATATGGCTAATCCATTAATTCAGCTGTTCAATAAGTCAAAAGTAAACTTTTTATTTTCAGGATTCCTCTAGGAATTAGACTTAGCAATCTCCCAGTATTGTAGATGCCAGAGTCCTTACACAGGGGACAAATAACGGTATTTTCTCCATTCTGTGGGTGGAGAAATAAGAACTCTTGGAGGTGATTTGGATTCCTCAGGATTATCCTTGAGTCCTATGCTTCCACTTGTAGCTGACAAGTGATAGTTTAAGATGAGGAGAGGGACGCCTTATGCACCTTTGTGACTGACCATTACTGATCGATGAAGAATTTCTTTGGTTTTCCCACTCTCTATTGTATGTTGAGCTACAAGTCATATTGAATAGATTGCAGAAGTTGAGGAGATTAGTGCTGTAACTGAAAGGGGAAACAGATTATCCTTAGACTAAAACTACCATTTTCTTATAAAAATCCAGCTGTGATATTTGGCTGATGTAACTTGGATCACATAAGGCTAATGTCTCGGGTTCTTTTAAGGTTGTGGAAAGCAGTACTCTCCAGATTTTGCACAATGGGAAGATACTGAAGCTCCTTAAAGCTGCTACTGATGATGCTGGACAATATTCATGCAAAGCCATAAATGTAGCAGGAAGTTCTGAGAAGCTGTTTAACCTCGATATACTAGGTTAGTTCCATGTTTTTGGTTTTTGTTTGGGTTTTTGTTTTTGTGTGGGTTTTTTTTTTTTAAGATGGTGATCTGAAAAACAGTTGATAGTTGAGAAGCCATTACATTCAATTTATTATAAATTAATTCTTCCTCTCACTGCCCATTAAATATTGGCTGCTGAAACACTCTTCATGGTGGCTTTTGAAGACTGAAAGTTTGCCGTTCTTGTAGTAACACAGACAAAATGCTGCTTTTCATTTCTGGATTTTGGTCTTTGGTACTTCGTTTTGTATTTTGCATGTACAGCAGTCTAACAGAGGAGTCTTCTTACGTATAGTTCACCAGCACAAGTGTGGAAGTGCTTGTCATGGTAGAAGTGATGATGTGATCCAGGAGGAGTCACTTTGCAGTGAAAAACTAAAGTTGTTTCAAGGGAGTAGCATGATCCACTACTGCATTTCTGCCAGTTTCATAGCATACCTTCCTGGTTAAATACCAGTTCTTCCTGTAATGTTTGTCTTTTTGAAGTTCCACCAAGTATAATAGGTGCTGATACCCCTGGTGAAATTGCAGTCATCCTCAATCAGGAAATCAGTCTGGAATGTAGAGCCAAAGGCTTCCCTTTTCCTGACATTCACTGGTTCAAAGATGGCAAGTAAGTATATTATAGCTTTTGTGATTTGTGTCTAGGTTATTCCTCACTTAGAATGTAGAGGAAGAAGGTGCATTGTACCAGCAAGCTCAGCTTTTAGCTATTTAGTGTTACTGTCAGCAGATAAAATTTGTGGTGGTGTGAGGTGGTAAGTTCTTTAGTCGAAAGTTAGCATCCTGCTTTTCTTTGTGAACTGTCCCGTTACTGACACTGGCACTTGCAGAGCAGATTTACAGTATTTGAAGCCAAACAATGCTTGAACCAAGACAAATGTGACCATTTCTTTGAATTTATTGTATCTGGGTTATTTTAAACATATCATTAGTTAAAATACAGTCGTTTTGCTGACATGATTTTTTCATTGGTAGACAGTACCCATATCAAACATTTTCTAACTAGTGACTTGCACAGTTCTGCATATATACTTTAAAGGTTTTAAAACATTTGTAGCCTGCATGTTTCAATTCTTCATCTCATCTTCTAGGAAAGCATACCAAGAGAAGAATTCTTGGTGGCTTAAATATTAGCTGAAAACCAAAATGGGCTGTGTTTTTTAAATAGTGTTGGTGTTTAACAATGTAGTTCAGTACAGGCATTGGCTAGTACTCACAGATATTCTGATGTGACAATTCCTTATTCTTTTGTATTGGTATGTTGACATTTTCATCTAGCAAATGCAGGCATTTTGTTATCAGCAAAGGACTGTCATGACCTAAGTAATTAGAAAAAGAAACTGAGATCAGGAGTAGGACTCTGGCTCTGATGCTGGCATCCTGGATGACCTGAGTAAAGTACTTTTGTGCTTTGATTTCTTCTAAAAACTAGGAATAAAGTTATTTATAATAGTTTGTCACTTTATGGTGGCTCTTTGGATTAATGCTGTTGCTCTAGTGCTAAATGGTACTCTTTAATGGTACAATTACTGCCATTAAAGGACCCCTTCTTATTACTGTCAGTTTAAATTAATGTTGAAAGGATGGGGTCAGAGTTCTGTGAATCAAAATAATCTCTATTCCAGGCCCTTGTTTTTGGGTGATCCCAATGTTGAGCTTCTGGACAAAGATCAAGTTCTACACATAAAGAGTGCTCGAAGGATTGACAAAGGTCGTTATCAGTGCAGCGCCACCAACACGGCAGGCAAACAAGTTAAGGAGGTCAAGCTGATCATCCATGGTAAGTTTATAGAATGCCTGATCCTAGAAGATCCTTTAATTTTACTCATAAGATTTCTGTTTTGAATGGAGATGCTCAGACAAACATAAATTAAGGTTCTGATCTTGCAAAATTTGTGTATAAATGTAACTTAATAGTCATCTGTCAACAAAGTGATCTTTTTGAGCATTTATGTGTGTCAAGTTAAGTATGGATGTAGTCTTTGCAAGCTTGGCCTTTAAATGGCTTTTATGTGCTTTTTATTAGTTTTTAATTGGTGAAAGCCAAAAATCTTGAAGGGCCATCTCAAATTTTGCTATTAATTAGTTTCAACTGCGTAATTTTATTATCACATTGTGATATATTGTAATGACACAATGTGATGTGTCATTATTTTGATCTGTCTTAGGGAGGAGAAAATTAATTAGAAGAATTTATTTTAATACACTCATGGTCTTATTTTCCTTAACCTAGTGCTAGGAGTAAATTCAGCCAGGAGTAAGTTAAAGTTAGTGCAAAAGTATAAAGTGAAGTGCAAAACCAGTAAGAATCAGACCCAAATAGTCTTTGGAAAAGAATGTTCCAGATGACCTTCAGGTAGTGTGGTATGTCATCTTGCTTAAATTGATGTAAATTAAGGTCATTTATAGCAAGAGAAGAAATGCTAGCATGAGATAACCACGTTAACATTATTATTATTTTTGTGAAGTTTATAGCCCACTGAGTATACTTTTTGTGTTTTCACAAGCAGTGGAGTCTTAGCAAAGACATGGAGAACATACAATTCCTGTGATTAGTGTAGATAAGTTTAATGTAAATTAGGAGATTATCAGTTGGGAGAAAAGGAGGGGAAAGATTCCTGGAAGAAGGAAGAAGTAGCTTTTGAAGGAAGACTTCAAAAAAGACAAGAGAAGAAGTTTTTCAATTTGGAAAACAAAGAACGCGTGAAAGCCCAGACAGACCTGTAAACTGAGAGAACACAGTGCTATCAGAAATTAGGGGGAAACAAGTGCAGAAATATATAGGTGAGATAGCACTTTTGTGCCCAGAGTGTGACATGTAGGAATTTGAATCTGTGAGCCGTTAAGCTGATGAGTCCTCATTTGCTATGGATTTGCTTCTGAAGATTTTGTGTCTTTTCTTCTGATAACTGTGAACTTATAAAACATTATTTCCCTCATCTGGGACGTTTCTGAAGCATGGAGCAACCACATGCACAGAAAAAATGCCTGTACACAAATCATAGTGAAGTCTTCTTCCATCGGGAGCAAAGAAAATGCTGTGAGGACTTGCAGGTGATTGTGGCTGTTGTGAGATTAGAGGAATAAAAAACCCCACACAAATAAAATCCTCGCAGATGACTAGACCTTACTTCAGGTTCTACAGGAGAGAGGTGAATTTGTGATAGTAGAATGGAATCTTTCTTTACGTTTAAATTTCTCATGAATTCTGGCCAAACAGAAGCCTACGGAGTAAGTGAGGGACTTAGATGCTAATTCTTGCTAGTTCTTACTTTGTTTTAGCTGTTTAGCCCTACTTTTGGCGTTGATATTTTCCCAAAACACCATGTTAAAACTGTTCCCCATCTCTGTGGATGAAAGTATTTGCTGATAGAGAAATGCATTCGCCTTTGAACTGGGTGTGTTTCAGCATATTTTATAGGTTTGTGTATTTTTGCACACAAATTATTTAATTAGGAAATTATTTCATCATGGTTTGATGATCTGCAAGACCCATCTTATAGGTGTAGATCCATTCACTGACACTTTGCTTTACATTTCTGCAGTGGCATTTCAAATGAACGCTATGGAAGTCAGTGGAAGTCTAGGATATACTGAGCATGTTTGGCAGCAGAGGAGTTAATGAGTCTGCCAGATGTGTCTGGTACTTTCAGCAGTCATAAATTTAGTTGTTGCCAATTGCACTGTGTTTTTATTACTTCTACAGAGATTTACGAACTCTTTATATTGGCTGATTTACACGAGAGCTTGTTTGCTAGAAAAATCTGAGTACTGCTGCTGCCTAGCGAGCAAGGGAAATGACTATGGGCCAAAAGTTTCAAAAATAGGAGCATAAAGCTAGACTGTTAAGCTCATATTTAGTCTCAAAGTAAGTGACTTCATCTTCAGAAGTTTTGAGTACTGAGCAGTTCCCAGTCGTAGAGGCTCTTGGATGTATGTATGCAGGTCACTGTTCCTTGTTGGGAGGATGCGCCTCCCAAGGTACACAGGGATTGCTCTTTCCCCCTCAGAGCCAGGGAAGAGGCCGAGCCATGCCCAAATGCATTGCAGGGCGCATGGAGGCCCAGCACATGTTGGAGCCTAGAAGGTAAAATGTTTCCGGGTACCTCTAGTGGGGCAACAATGCTTTGCAGTGCCCCTTGCTGTGTTACTTGTTTCTTAAGTATATGGTGGCCCTTTGATGTTAGATTCCTTTTATGTTGTGTTCACTTCATGCTTTCAATGCTCGGTGTGCCCCAGAGAATTGAACAGGCAATGCATAACTCTGCTGTGAAAAAAACAAACAAAAAACACAGGAAGGGTTGGAAGTCTGATTAAGCTAAAATCTTTTATTCTTACAGCATTCTAATGTTTAATCTATTTAAATCTACACAGAGTTGTATACTAAGGCTTTTTAATACTGTTGTTTTGTCTTTTGAAATAGTCCCTCCTAGTATTAAAGGAGGGAATATTACCACAGAGGTGTCGGCGCTTCTTAACAATCTTATAAATTTGGAATGCGAAACCAAGGGAATCCCTGTTCCTACTATTACATGGTACAAAGATGGACGCCCAATTATTTCCAGCCCCCAAGCTCTGTATGTGGATAGAGGGCAATTCCTGCAGATACCTCGGGCCCAAGTATCAGATTCTGCAAAGTACACTTGCCGCGTGACCAATGCCGCTGGAGCTGCTGAAAAAATATATGACGTGGATGTCTATGGTAAGCAAGAGTTTATTGAACTTGGTTATTTGCCATGTTACAGGAAGTGAGTTTTGAAAGCTTTTCTGCCTTCGTAACGTCAGCAGCCTTTACAGGCCTGTCAAGGGTGAACAGCAGTCAATTGTTGCGTTTAAAGACTGGCCTGTGTTAGCAGGTCCGTGTAGAGGGAGCTTTACATTCTATGCTTTCCGTGACTCTCAAAAAGCTCTTGACTTCAGGGGCCTTGATACCATGCTTTAGTGAAGTATCAAAACTATTTCTTCTCCATGTATCCTTTCTCTCTCGCATGTGCATGTTGAACAACACTTACCTGAAATACCCACTCTGGGTGGGATCTTTAGCGTACTGTTTTAAGACCTTTAGATTTAGTTCTTCCGTCTCACAGCCCTGCAGATCCTCTATTTCATACAACTGGTCAATATTGAACTACATCGTTTGAATTCTCTGTTTCCCCTTTGTCTTGGCTTGCCCCGGTAGCAAATTCTCACATGAAATTGTGCGTGACATAATGGCATATAGAGCCAAAGTGAGTGGGGAGGAACTAACCCATTTGCTCTTAATACATTTTCTGGCTACAGAATTAATCACTTGCAATATATTGTTTTCTTTCTACAGTTCCTCCAGTAATTGAGGGCGATGCTGACACAGCCCAGAACAGGCAGGTGGTTGCTGGCAATTCACTGACGTTAGAGTGTAAAGCTGCTGGAAACCCTCCGCCTCTCCTTACCTGGTTAAAAGATGGTGTGCCTGTGAAAGCAAGCGACAACCTCCGCGTTGTATCTGGTGGGAAGAAGCTGGAGATTCTGAATGCCATTGAGGCCGACCGGGGCCAGTATTTGTGTGTGGCCACAAGCATAGCTGGAGAACAAGAAATCAAATACGAAGTTGAAATCTTAGGTGTGTGAGCAACAGAACTACTGATTTATCAGATTTCCATAAACCTAGTAAAGCATGGCTTTATTTTTGTTGGTATTGTTATATGAAAGGTCAGTTAGTCAAGTTGCGTACTTAGTTAAACCCAGGCACTCCGCACTTCTGTCCAGCGTTATGGGACAGCTTGAAGAATCTTACTTTCAGGTTAGTTCTTGAAGAATTTTTGTGCATGTGGTAGGTAAATATTATCCTCAGGAATCTTTAAAATTCTTCTAACTTGCCTGTCTAGAAGAAAATCATAGATATGAAAGGAATCCATTAAAAAATATCACTGAGTGGTTGCCTCTGGGGAAAGAACACCCGTCTCTGAATTTGAGCTGTGTTGTGCAAATTTTGAACCTTTCATGAAGATTTTTTTTCTCCTTTTTCCATTGAATCCTTTTCCACGGTCTGAATCTCAGCAGTCCCTTCTGAATGTCTCTAGGTAAATGAGTTATAAAATGTTAATCATATTCTCCTGACATGGAAGGGTTTAAGAACTTTAAAGGCCTGATTTTTAGGCTTTGAACTGCCCTCTTGAAGAACATTGCATACTGTTGCATGCAGATGTAGAGCATCCATTCTGCCGCTCCGGGTATATCTCACTGTTCTTGCTGGTCAGTGAAGGAGCTGGGAGGAGCTGTATGGCAGTGCTTCCTCCTCCTGCGGTAGAATGAGACAGGGTGAAGACGACCTGGAAGAGGGTCCTCTGCACCTTTGTTTTCTCCTTCTGCTGACAGAGGGTGCTAAAAGTCCTGCCCCCCCAACCCCATTCACAAGGTTGTTCAGACAGAATTTGGAAAAAACAAGCAAGAAACAGTAAAAAAGAATGAGAAGAGTAACTTGAAGCCACAAAATATGATTGGGTAGATGTTTTTCTTCAAAAAGGAACAGTGATGAGCTGCAAATCTGTATGTGTCCCAAAGTGAGATAGATGCCAAGATTTTTTTTTTTTTTTTTTTTTTAACATTACTATTTGAGATAGACTTTTGTGACATTTCTAATGCTTAAATGTTTCTGTTGATGGATTTTTCTCTCTCTTACAGTTCCGCCATTTGTGGAAGGTGGGGATGAGCTCTTGGACAACATTGTGATTCTCCATAGCCCTTTGGAGTTGGATTGTTCAGCAACAGGGACACCCTCACCAACTATCACGTAAGGGGATTGGTGTGACAGTAGGAAAAAAAATCTGCTGGTTGATTAGGTTAGCTTGGAGGTAGTCTTTATGGACTGCCCATGTTATTTAGTGATGGTTAATGTGTGGAGAACAAACTCCTGGCTCCACTGAAGACAGCGACAGGCACATGCATGGCAGGATCAGGATTTTGTTTTAAAGTAGTTTGCTATGTTGTGCCAACACGCATGTCCTGGAAACTAGCAAAGATAACAAGAGCTGACAAAACTCTCATTCCCTTGCTAATGCAACTGTACACTTTTCATCTGCCACCAGTGACTGCTTTTGCTTTGGAGATTTCTGTCTGCCTCTGGTGGTGGCATCTGCTTTCACTACTGCTTCCCAGCTGTCACCTTTCTGACTTTTGTGCCTGTTCCCCTATACTCCCTTCTCCTGATAAACCATTTTGGTCCATGGCACTCAGAAAAGCGGAATAGTACCTGACATCTCCAAACCTTCCTAGAAATGCAAATAGAGTTACCAAGACATTCTGTTTAGTAGAATTGTGCATATTTTAGGAGTGTTGCTGATCTTACTTTCATAGAGATCTGAGGTTGTATTTTCTTTTTGGTAGGTGGTTGAAAGATGGTCAACCGGTTGAAGAGGGAGCTGGACATAAGATCTTATTAAATGGACAAAAACTTCTCATCTCTCGAGCTCAAGTGTCAGACACTGGCCGCTATAAATGTGTGGCTGCAAATAAGGCAGGAGAACATGAAAGGGAATTTGATGTTACTGTGCATGGTAGGTTACTCAAGGGCAGGGGAGAAAGCAGCGGACTGCCTCTATTTTAAATTGCTGGCAAGAAGGTGCTCAAATTTTCTGTAAATGTTTATTTGTATTAGTGGGTTGAAAAATTGGAGATGAGAGTAGATGACATAGAAGTAGAGCTGCTCTTACCTGTGGGATATTGCTTCTATATATTTAAATTTATATGTTCAAATGATACTTCATTTTTGTTTCTGGTGCTTCTTGCAGTTCCTCCAACCATCAAATCAGCTGGGACTTCTGAGAGAGCTGTTGTGATATACAAGCCTGTGACGCTGCAGTGCATAGCCAATGGCATTCCCAGCCCTTCCATAACTTGGTTAAAAGATGGTCAACCAGTAAACACAGCCAGAGGAAATATAAGAGTAAGCACTACTCTTTTATGGGATCCAAACCATGAAAGATAGTTACAATAAATTATACATGTTAGTGCTTCTTTTTCTTTTGCTTCCCTCATGCTGTGATATAAAGATGCTAAAGATCCATCATGGACAGGGGTGGGCTTTTGACCTGAATGGGACAGTACCTCAGACTGAATAGCAGTATTTAGTAGACTGAATCCCATTAGACACTTCCATACCAGAAGAGTCCATGACTGTAAATCCAGCATCTGGCTCCTTTCAGTTGTATTTTAACCTTCAGTTAAAAGGTCTGCCAGTTACGAGGTGGCTCTACTCACTTGTCACTGTGAGGCGGAATTTAGATGAGTTTTTCTATAAGCACTGCCATTGCAGCACCTACCTGTACGTTCCCTTCTCATTGTGAGATTCTGACTTTCTATGAACAGCCCTTCCCAGTGCTTGCATGCTCCAGGGGGTTGAGTGCTTGTAATGGCTTTGATTTACTTTAGGCTGGAGCAGTTTTTGACATCTTGCCAGCGGCAGCTCTCTCTGCCTGCAGCCTCCTCCTCACCTTGCTTGCCTGCCCCTGTGCCATCTAGGTCTCCTCACAGCTGTACAGCTAATAATCCTGATGTCCCAGGAACACTGAAGTCTCTGAACTACCAAGACACCTCTTGCATGAATATTAGCCCCAGGTTAGAAGAAAGATGAGACTGGCTGTATTCAGCGTAAACGTCTGCTTTGCCATTATGCTTAGCGGCTCTGCCTGGGATCGTTGTGTAAAGTGGTTCCCTGCTCTCTGTTTTGGTACAGCTGGAGTCTTCAGGCCGTATTCTGCAAGTTGTCAAGGCCCTGCTCGAAGATGCTGGCCGATACACTTGTGTGGCAACAAATGCTGCAGGAGAAGCCCAACAGCACGTTCGGCTTCATGTGCATGGTAATGTTTCTGCCTCTAGTTAGACGCTAAACGTGGCTGTTTTAAGGCAGCTTTTTTACATCTGTATTCCCTTCTCTTTTAAGCTCTCTGGCATTTTTGTTGTCTCTGCACATCCATCTTTCAGTTTTCTTTCTTTCCCACTCCATTAGTAAGAAGTCAGGGCAAAAGCTGTCTTTCTTGGGATTTAGCCTTTCTCGTGTGGTTCCGAGCGCCACAGAAATGAATGCCTTTCCAGTTAACTCTTCTGTTCAGAGGTATCCCAAGAAGCCAAACGCATTGCCACTAACCCACCACTCAGAAGGGTACTCTATGCTTCTGAATCAAGATATGATGTACCACTGTTGGCATTATTAATTTGATCCAAGTCTTCTGGGAAAACAGCATTCCCCATGACCTTGCAGTGGGGAAATTTTGCAGGAATGACTTTGCTGAGAAAGAAACATTCTCTTATGAGGGGATTTTTCAGACTGTTTAGAAGGAATTTTATTTTGCAGCTAAAAATGGTATGAAAGGAATCGGTGAAACTTGAGAAGCTGTTGTTTGCATGTGAATTTAATAAATGCTCTCACCATGATTTACATGTATTTGCCTCAGAAGTGGTCACGAAGTATTGTGCATTCTTGATGTGATCCAATTCTCAAAGGATACAGGAGGTGCGGGAATGGACTGTGGCAAAATGCTCATGATGAGTATGATTATGTCGACTTTCATTGTCAAACCAAATTTCCAGTAACTGGAAAATGTCAAACTGAAATGAAGAGAGATTGCAGTATCTCCGGGGTGAGACTTAGAACGGGGAGCCACACTCCTACTGTGATAATTGCATCATAGTTAATTTTAGTGTCAGTCCCATGCTCACAAATACCTCTTTTTTTCTCAGTCTTCATGTTCGAAGTGTCATTATCTGGTGTTTCTGTCATTTTGCAAGTTTATAGACTTCAGTAAGGTAAAGAGTCTTGCTTTGTTAAAGCCGTGTACAACATTCAGTTTAATGTTACGTGTTCAAGTGAGATGAGCTTGCCACATTAGAAGAATTACTGTTCTATGTTGTGCACCCGTTTCCTACAAGTCCATTTTAAGTGCCATTTTTCCTGAAAAAATATAAAGTAATAAAAATATCGTTTTATTCCTATTAACACTAATGAGGTTATATAATTAGAGCGTATTCTCCTTTCAAAGACGAACTTTCTTGAGAAATTCCTCGGTCATCCAGCAGTTAGTTGAAGCTTGTGCAATTAATTGCCCAAAGTTTCTCAGAGGGCAGTTTACTTTGTGATTGGATGTTTTGCTAGCTGGGTGGCTGAATTAATGAAAACCTGATGCCTTTGTCTTTTCCCAGAACCACCCAGCCTGGAAGATGCAGGAAAAATGTTAAATGAAACAGTGGTGGTGAATAATCCAATCCATCTTGAATGCAGAGCATCTGGGAGCCCTCTGCCAGGTATGCACATGCACCTCTGAGAACATGAAGCAGATCTGATTAAAAGTTTTTGCTTTTATGTGTCTTTTGAAAATAATGGGTATTCTGAATGTGAAGTTAATTCTGTGGTTTTTAAACTAGCTGGAAACTATTAAATGCTATGTATAATGGGAAATGTCAATATATCAACTGACATGGAGTAGGTATTGAGGAATTCAGTAATCCCCACCATTTTTAATTAAATGAATGAAAACCACAAGGGTAATCTACTCCCTTGCGTGTACAGCGATGCCCTGTCCATAGACAAGAATACTGTCAGACTTCTGCTAAATCAGCTTTAAACACATCCACTCTTCTCCCCTGTCAGGTCAATATTTTGTAGCGTAGGGCAGACTTAGAAGAATACCTTGTGTATTGAGTGTGCCTGTCAAATGTGGCCATGTCTTGGACCTTTTCTAAAGGCTGTTGAAATTAATAGGAGGCTCTTTGTTTGGTCTGGGCCCTTTAAGAATGAGTAGGTTTTCTCTGTGTATACAGTGCTTTCTGTGGCTTGCCCTGATGATAAATTGTACTAATGTATTTGTGGGTTCTCCTTATATTCTAAGGTTTGAAAACTAGGCTGTGTATATCTGTTAGTGTTTTATTTTCCTCACATTTTGTGGAATTGTAATTTTTTTTTTTCCTTTTTTTTTTTAAGGGAAATTTCCCATAGAAATCATAGACATTTACCCAAGTGAGAGCTGAGGGAGTTTGGCTCCTGTTTAGACTGATGGATCTTTTGAATTGTTTCTGAACTGAAAAAAATCTAAAGCAATCTAGATTTTAGTTACTTCATTGCTGGGATTCTTTCAGTGCTAGGATTTTTGGATTAGGTCTTTTTTTACAGTTAATCCTTTTTTGTTCTTGTTGTTGAGATAAAAATCTATTTCCTTCTTTTTTCCAACGTGTGTTTTATGTTCCCACCTCCTTCTGATGGATATAAAAATACCGTGTTAATATGAGAATAGTTTTCTGTATTAATTATTGTACAGCAAAACTTGGGGAATAGCATATAATGAATATCTTATATCTAGTATAGCAATTTACTCTTGCGCTGATGATAGTCCCATTTTCAGAAGAAGGGTGTTACTAAATTTCAACTGAGCATCCAGGTTCACCTTCTCCACCTTTTAAAGAATTGATTCTCCACGAAGTATTATTTTCTAGAATCATTTATACCTGTATAAAACAAAATTTGAAATTATTAGGGGTGTATGTAAAATGTTATGAAAACATAAGGATTTTATATCCATTTTGCACTCTTTTTTTCTCATCAAATTGCCAATTATTTTAGGACAAACAATTAAAATGATGGAGTTAATATAATTTATACAATAAAACCAGTTTGTTCACCTCTTCTCTGTACGATGTGACGCTACATACTAATGTCAAGATATGACATTAGCTAAGAAAAGTGATAGCACAACATCACACTGAAAAAGAAGCTTGCCTGCAATCTTGTTCATCAGTCAGGCCAGATTACTTCTTGAATGTGTCTTTCACAGAAAACTTGTGTGCTATGGAAAATGATTCAGTAAGTAGCAGTTTCATCTAACTGAATAGTGAAGTGATGCCAGTAAAACATTAGTTACACATTCTGCTGATGGAGGGTGCCATCTTTTGGCTGAGATGCAAAAAAATCCTCAGATTTTGTTGATTATCAAGTTCCTATAAAATTTTCTTTTGGAGTAATACCAGTTTTCTGGGCTTTATTTTCAGTTTTTCAGCCTGCCAGTTGAACTTTCATTTGGTTGCTTACATTTTGTTCCTGTAAACTTTCCCAGGTGGTTCAGTTTAATGTAGCAATACTTTAGGGTAAAAGGTGAAAAAATTACATATATTATATTGCTGCGTATTTTTGAACAGCTGCTGTTGGCCTTGGTATGAGATGAGTAAATCCTCTATAAGTATGCTTTGTGTGATAATTTTTCGACTTCAGAACATTTTTTTCATAAATACATGGTGTGCATGGATGATAGTGTCAAGTTTGCTATTGAATTCTCTGGGGATGAGTCAGTACTTTGCAGAAATGTTACCGATTTCCTCATTTTCTCGTTACTTTTTGTTGTTATTAATTATGATTAATATTGATACTGGTTTGTAAATGTTGGTGTTATGTATCTGAAAACTTAGGTGAAAGTTTGGAGACTATTTGGTCCCTTTGTTTTTGTATTTTTGGCAACTTTTGCATCTTTCCTTTCATTGTGCAGCTATCACATGGTACAAAGACAATCGTCCACTTACCAGTGCTGCAAGTGCCACTTTTCTGAACAGGGGGCAGGTTCTGCAGATTGAGGGTGCTCAGATCTCCGACACCGGTGTTTATAAGTGTGTGGCTGTCAACACAGCGGGCACAGCTGAGTTGTTTTACAGTCTTCAGGTTCATGGTAAGTGTTATAAAACTTACAAAAAACACCTGCATGCACCACCTTTGCTCTTTTCAAGTTTCACGTCTGCTTTAGCAGACTTACCATCACTCATCACACCATCATACTGGAAGAGATACGGCACAGGTCAGAGGGAAGAAAATTCACTCTTCTGTTTTTCAGTGACATTAGAATACATGTTTTGAATTAGGAAAACGTGGTAGGGGAAGTCTGTTCTGGGAAGAATGAACAGAGGCAGCAGATTTGTGGAAAAGGTATTTGTGTTATCACTTCAGCAATTTGGAAGGCCTTGTAATTGCTGCGTTTTGCTGTAGATGACTTTAAAGCTCACAGTAGACAAAGAAAGGACACATATCAAATGCTCTTTCATAATCCAAGAGTTTTAAAGAAAAATGTACTGTGTCTAATAAGATGAAGGGGAAGCGTGGGTGTTTGCAGACATGAGACACCTGATCAAAAGCCAAATTGGAGCTTTTCCACTGATTTCAGTGGCTTTTGGATGGGGCCGTAATCCAAATTCTTATCTTTGATACATGCATATGCATGTAGCTGATTTTCTGTGGGAGTCTTCCATGCAAAACTGTGGCCCAAATTTGGCACAGTGTCCCCAGCTGAGATGCACGCAGAGTATGTAGTTCCTATTAATGTTAATTAACAAATAATGAGCTGGGCAGTACATTTTGATGGAATTAATGACCATCATGGGAAAAATTGACGGCTCAAGTCATGGTCAAAGGCAATTAACCCCACCCAGTGATTAATTCCCAGGAAATATTTAGAGCCAAGGTCATTATTCTGGTGAAACCGAAAAATGAAAAATAACTCCGAAGTATATGCGTGTCTTTTTATGGGTGATGGAATTTCAGTGGATATGTCCGGAGTTTTCTAGGGAACTAATACTTTGTGACTTAGACACGTAACATTGTTATGAGCAGAGTATATATGCAGTTGCAGCCAGAAGTAATTGCATCAAAGGAAGCTGAAACACCTATGCATGAACCTACTTAATTCAGCTTGTGTCATGCCAGGCTTTCAGTGGAGTGCTTTTTGAATTTACCATGAACAAGTTTATCATCCAGTTTACTTAGAGTTTATGAGTTTGAGAGGAGAAAACTTGAGTTTTTTCCTCTCTTAATAGTGGAAGCAAGAATGACTACTTAATGGAGAACAGACTCTGAAGTGTCAAGTGCAGAAAGTTATGCTGCATTTACTGAAAGCCTGCTCTAGATTTCTGTATGGCAGTTGGCATTGGGAATGAGCACCTATGTTGGTCGATTACTGGTCGCGTTTAACAACTTCTGTTGTTAATAGTGTTGTGGATGCAGTTGCTGTGGTAGAAATATCAGATCATTTTTGCATTAAAAACAATGCTTGATACTGCAGGCTTAACGTTAAATGAAAGTAGCTGGCCTACTGAAGGAAGCAGGTTGAATTCCAGTTTAGTATATTCATATGATTTCATTGTATTAATTTTTTCCACTTCTTTCTCACCATTATAACTTTTTCAGGCATTTGAGAACAATGGATGCTATTGTAGTGAAATAGGGGAACTGTGTGCATGCGTGTGGGGAAAAAAAAGATTACAAGATCACACTTGCTTTTTTTCTGCCATTTCTGCCATTACTGGAATTTATCTAGAGTAGGTAGCCTGAGTTACAGGCTGTTAGAGGTTGCTGAATTTATTAATGAATCTTATTTTCAGTACAGAATTTTATACGTGTTTTTTTTCCTCACATAGGATATGTATGAGTAGATCCACACCATTCTCATGTCTTTCTAGGAGTGACTTCAAGTGTTAAGTTTTGTACTGATACTGACTGTAAAGCTTTATTACTAAGTTGTTAGTGGTAGGAGCAAATAAAATTGTTTTGATTCTCCTGAGAAATGAAACATCTCCGTTTTTTAATACTTCTTTTTTCCCTTTTTAACATAGCTCTACAAAATTTGCTAGACTGTATGCCTATAGTAAGTGTTTTGAGATGTTCCATTAAGATGTTTTTTGTCCTCAGACAGTCAGATGTTACACAGTCTAATCTGGTAAATGTTCACATATGCTCTGCAAGGCCGATTTATTACTCTGTGTATGTATTTGCTTTATGCAGTTTATATGATAAACTTCTTTCTTTAATCCCCACCACTCTTAATGCCTTTCACAAGGTCTAAATGGAATATTATAAAAGTTTGAGGGAATATTTTCTGATTTTATGTTATTATGGTTCCTGGGTTTTGCAGCTGTCCTCTGGGCTATGGGCCCAGTCCTGCTTACCTTGCTCACAGTAGTTTCGTTGAAGTTATCTGACTGCTTATGTAAGTAAAGAGCAGGATTTGGCACGGAGCAAACAAATGACAAAAGCTCAGTAGGAGTAACATGAGAAATCGTTCCAACAGCGTAGTGCCTTTCAGAAAGAGAAATAATGTCCGAAAGTAAGCGGCCCACTTAATTTCATTGTGATTAATACTCTTAGGTAGCTGCTTCAGCTTTGCTTTCTTTTTTTGCAGTCCCACCATCAATTTCTGGCAGCAGTGACATGGTGACAGTCGTGGTTAATAACCTAGTGCGACTGGAGTGTGAAGCAAGAGGCATCCCTGCGCCTATTCTGACGTGGCTAAAAGATGGTAGCCCTGTTTCCAGCTTTAGCGATGGACTCCAGGTACTGGGTTCAAATCCTGCTATCTGTGCTGTTTTCTGTTGTGGTAGGAGACTTTAAAACTGGTACAGTTTAATGGAACTGTATAAGCCAGAGATTTTGGAATGAGAGCGTAGAGCCTTTTGCTCTAGGTTATTGGTGCAAGTTTAGCTCTAGTAGTTACTGTGTGAAGTAGAAGATGCGGGTATATTGAAATAAGGTGGTCCTTCCAACTGATTTCATACTGAGTAAGAGTTTGCATCAGCAAGTTTTTCACTTACTGGCAAGAAGAGGAAACTGGGCCATATTCCTATGCTGAAGAGATCTGTAGAGCTCAAGATCGTGTAATATCTCATTACATAAAATAGTAATTCATTTTAAAAAAAACAAAAGACCCCCCCATGTAAGGACATATTTCAGAGTTAAAAGGAGAGGGCATGAAAGCTAATTTTATTATCTGAAAAGAAAGAGGGGAAATTTGTATACTATGTGGACAACTCGGGACACAGACAAAAGGTGTGACAGAATGTTTGAAACTGGTAAGAGGGAGGAATGTCCAGATCCTGCAAAGACGTGCGAATGCCAGGAGTTCCCTACGGACTTGCGTGAAGTTAGACTTCTGCTTTTGCAGGTCTTGATCAAAAGAGAACAACAGAGTGTGGGGAAGAGTATAGGGAACAGAGAGATGGTGGGAAGCAGTGGCAAAACAAGTATTTTGTTCTGAAATGAAGCCTAATAGTTCTCTCTGCTTGTGTTTCACATTGAGGCATGTATTCCCAATGTGTCGTGCTTGTATTCCAGGTTCTGTCTGGGGGCCGAGTCTTGGCATTGACTAGTGCTCAGATCAGTGACACAGGAAAATACACTTGTGTTGCAGTGAATGCTGCGGGCGAGAGCCAGAGAGATATTGAACTCAGAGTTTATGGTGAGATTTTCTGACAAATTGCTCTATTTTTTTGGTCATGAAAACTGTTCATGGAGCTTTAATTAAACACACTGTGGCCTAGACCTTTAGCAACATTGAAGAAAAATTGTTCCAACCCGTAATGAAAGGCTAAGTGATGAGGTGTGTGCATGTGTTGTATATAAAATTAAAAATATATATATACACATATGTACGCATGTATTAAAGTATGCGTGTATGTTCTTCTGTGTATCCTTGAAGAAATGTAGCTGCAACAGGGAATTTATAAGGTTAATACATAAAGGCTTATTTATAAATGATAGGAGAAAATATGTGTTTTTCTTTGTGTAAGAAACATGTAGATCCCACAGGCAAAAAATATTACTGGGGCCAGAGCTCAATTGTCTTTACTGAACCAGAACGAGTCAATGTGAGTTTGCCATACAGCTCTCCAGTTTCTGTTCCATTTTCAAGACCTTATTATGCCTGCCTAAATGGTGGTGACTTTTTTAGTGCTAACAATGGCACTGTATTGAGCCCAACCAGTCAACTTTGTCTCTTTCAAGCAGCAGGGAATGTATCTTTAGCTTTTGCACTTTGTCAGTTTTCCAAATTATGTCAATAAGTTAATTCTGAAGTCTTTTTGGCTGAACTCACGTGAATTCATCCTTCTTTCTCATTTCTTGTAACTTGTATGAGCTTCATCCTGATTTCTTGTGATTTGTATAAGATGCCTTTTCATATTGCTTTCTCAGGGATCATTGGTGATGTACCAGTATCAAAGAGCATGACATACTGCCAGGAGGAATGCCAGGGAGTTTGACTGTAGCAAGTGTTAAGTTTCCCTGGACAGCTCAGTGGTTTTGTACACCAGTGAAATGAGGATGAACAATGATCTGCCATTTGTTTTAGAAATCTGATGGTACCAGATGTGGAGAGAGGCTTTTGGAATTGAAGAAGCTTTGTGGTTTTGCTTCTGCTTTCAGTAGGTTAGTGGAGAGAGAACTGTTTTGGGTCTGCCAATCTCTCGCTTTATGGCAACCGTAAGCAGAAATCTGGAAAAATCTTGCAAGAGAAGTTAGAAGTTTGGATGTTCTCTAAGGTGAATAGGGACAGCTGGCCAGGTTATTTGTTTTCGAGTTTGGCTTTCAGAATTGACTTCCTTGTAAATGCACTGTGGTTAGGATACTCGTGACTTGAGTCATGGCTACTTTTGCATCTGCAAGGGGCAGTTCAGAAAGTCAGGACACTGGCATGGCAAACAAGCTCGAGGTTAACATGGGCTGGAACATTATATGTCTAGAGCAAGGAATACCAAGGTCCCTTTTGGAGTTTGAGGACAGGTGTGTATGTATATGTAACCACACAAGTGGCATGGATATATTTGTTATTTCTCTTTTATTTTCTGAAACCTCTGTCCATTTTAGCTAGATGAACTTAAAAGAGTTAGTTAGAAGTTGTGTATGTTTAAAATTACTATTGTGTTAGAAGCTGGCCAGGGTTGAGCTCAGCTGCAGGGCCATCTTGAGTGAGGCTGTCACCAAAAAGTAATACTGCTCTTAGGATTGCCTCGTATGGGTAATCTAATTAAGAAGTCACAGGAGGAAAATAATTTGGAGTGCATTTGGAGCTGAGATGGTTACAAATGTGCAAAGTGCTGAGCCAGTCTAGGAGTTGGAACAATCTGGGTAACATATAGTTACCATGAGCATAATTAGATTAATTTTAAACCCCGTTCCTTCAGAAACAAATGCTTTAGTGTCTGTCTCTCTCTGTTTCATAAACTCAGTTTCCTTTTGAACACATTTCAATTCATTTAGCTGAGAGGAAAAGTAGTTGGTGGAAAAGTATTTGGAAATAAATTTGCCTTCTGCAGTAATGGATCAGCTTCCAATTTTCAGTTCCACAATACTCGTAAAGAATCTGGGCCTTTGTGAATTTTACAAAGAAAGTAAGATAAACAGATTTTTTTTCAGTTACTATATTTCTTATCCACAGAGACCAGACTTTTCCCTAAATTATTTCCAAACTGTGAAATCAGCTGCTCTGCTTAGTACTTCCTGTGCAAGAAAAACAAAGCTTTATTGTTAATGTTATTTTTCAGGACAACTTGAGAACTGTGTTGCTGGTTTACTGAGTACCACTTTGGGACATTTTATAATCTCATGTGTGCTAATTAATTCAGTATCTTCTTGCTCAGAGTGAAGCTCAGAGTATTTCTCGCAGGCAGTCCCACTGCTTCCCTTCTTCTTACCCCAATATATTGTGCAATCAGACACGCAATTTCTGGAGTAATGGATTGCAAAAGTAAAAAGCGAAGGAAATGTGATAATAAAGGTTCTTATATTTGGCCCTGGTCAACTTTTTTTGGGCAAACTGAACAGTCTTAGTACACAACAAGCATGAAAATCCCACTGGATATGTGTAACCAGACAAAGTAATTCTTGCTAGGAGAGTTTTGATTTTGTAAATATTTTGACTGCAGATCGAATGTTGCATTAATGTCAAGCGTTTATAATGAACATGCTTCATGTTTTTAAATGACAAGAAAGGAAAGGGAATCCCTATGGGTTGTTTTAAGGATTTAAGAACATATATGCCATTAAGGGCATGACTGGGAATTCTTTTCTGGATCATGCTTGAGCAGCCCAGTAAAAACACTTCTGCTCTCTGCAGTTTGCCGTAGTTACCTGTGTTAGTGATGCACATGAAGGCACCTGACTTGCTGTGGTGTGCATGACAAGCACTCCCAAATTCTGTCTCACTGGCTCTAATCTGGGAAGGGGAACCTCTGGTAGAGAGCTGGTGGTAAGCAGCAGCAATGCGGCCATGATGGCCTACACCACTCTTGCTGTTTTCCGGGTCAGCGTGTGTCTGACACCGAAATACTTCAAAACTTTTAATGTGGCAGTATTCTGTCAATGACTCAGAGCTGCCTGGGGAGTCTCAGAAGATTTCCTTTGACCGATGATACAGCATGCCATTACTAAAGGACATTCGGTTCAGCCATGAATGCTGATACAAAGCCGTAGATGGCAAACAGTTTTGGGTCTTTAATCTTTTCATTTAGGCTCATCTTGTCAGTCTAATATTTCCTCCATGTTCTTTTCGATTCCAGCCATGAACACTTTCCCCATGGAAACTTGCTCACATGCTGTGTTCCAAGTTTTAGTTCTCAGTTGCCTTCTCAGTTGCTTTGTTTTTCTGACTGTGGAAACACAAATAAAATGGGGGAAAAACTGCATTTTCCTGAATCTTGACACTGTTCAAGAGCAGCTAATGGGTTTCAATTTAAATGTGCAGAAGCATTTTTTTTTTCGTCTACACAGAAAACTTTCATTCCAAAAGCTGATTTTTCTACCCTATAATTTGGAAATAATAGTGTAATAATGAGGTTATCACTGAAACTGCAGTACAAATCTAAATATAGTGCTCAGTGCCAACAATTGCAATAATTAGCTAGCAGATACCACACAAAACAGACAATAAAGTAATTGTAGATTATGACTTAATGATTAAGTCATTAACCCGTTTACTTGGCTGCAATCATGTAAGTTCTCATTCTGTCTTCTGTATTTGGCCATCTCTGGACAAAATTCCTCTCAGAGTTCGCCTTAAAGCCAAGTATCCATCTTGGCACTGTTTGGAACAGTTTAAGCCATTTTCAGCTTCTGGGTCTGATTATTATCTTGTGAGTCTTCTCACTCATCAGCTCTTTTTCTTTTTAGCCGGAATGTACTTCCCCATTCTTTGTATGCTGGTGATTTTCCTTTCTAGCTATATTTCAAGTATTTTTTTGCTGGTCTTGGCTTATCTAAATGGTTTCTTTGTAGCTGATACCTCACTAGCATATATCTTGTGTGGAGGATATTCTGTAAGTAACAAGAATTATTCCGGTGCTTTTTTGTGATATAAAGGAGACTTGAGTTGTGTATCAGAAAGGTAGTAACTGCCATTTTGTATTTGTAAATGAGGACTGTTAACTCCACAGTATGTTTACTCTGGGAAGTCTGCAATGCCCAAAGGTCCTTTGTTTTGATTTATTGCTGTAGTTCCACCAAACATCATGGGAGAGGAACAAAACGTCTCTGTGCTCATCAGCCAAGCAGTGGAGCTGCTCTGCCAGAGCAATGCTATTCCCCAACCCGTGCTGACGTGGCTCAAAGATGGACGACCCTTGCTGAAGAAGCCAGGTCTTAGCATATCTGAAGATGGAAGTGTATTGAAGGTAAACTGGGTGGTCAGGCTCTGGTGGCGATTGCTTTCTGGGGAGCATACCCACCATGAAGGCACTAGATACCTGTTAGAGTCTGGATAGCATTAGGTGCAATAGAGAGTAGTGGGTGAGGAGTGAGGGAGGTCATAGACATCTAGATGTTTGTGTACAGATTTTGCAGGAGTAATACTGTATTATTAATATTTAGAGAGACAGATGTAAAAATAAAAATTGAAACCTGAACAACCTCTCCCTGAAATTCCTGTATAACGATGTAAGAAGAAGAAATCCAGGTTTTCATTTTCTTCCTAGATTGAAGGAGCTCAAGTACAGGACACTGGCCGTTACACTTGTGAAGCGACAAATGTTGCTGGGAAAACTGAAAGGAACTATAATGTCAATATCTGGGGTAAGATTTATTAAGCTTATTCCAGGAATGGGAACGGACTTCAGAGTGAAATTATAATGTGAGACACTAAAATCCTCTGTAGTTCATAAACACTTAATTGCTGAGGTTCATGCAGGGAGATGTTATATTTGCAGTAGTTTAACAGTCCCAAGGCAGTGCACGCATTTTCCAGATTGCTTTGGTTTGGTTCCAAATTAATACTAGCTACTTTGTAGGCCTTTGTCAGGCTGTGTTTGCATGCATGATAGTAGCTTAGAACTATAACTAACTGGTTTTGTATCCATAGCTCCTATTTGTGCACTCTAATGCCATTTAAAGTAACCTACCAACTTTCCACTTTTTTAAATGCTGAAGCGTGGAAATTCAGATAAATAAAAGCTGGTTTACCTAGCTTTATTTGCTCTGCAAAGTTATCAGCCCTGAGTCATAAAAATAGCTTTAGTAAAATTTTTCTATGGCTAGGTGATGAATGTGGCTTAGGACATTTATTTTAATAATTGATTTTGAGTGTTTTTTTTCTGCACCATCATTTTCTCCCCATATGCAAATTGAAATGTGCCTTTTTTTGCTATTACAAATCAATTTCTTGCTTTGAAATCTCAAGACTAGAATTATCTAACAGGGTTCGTAACCATAAAACTACAATTCTTAGTACAGAATTCTGTCATTATTTAAAAAAAAAAAAACAAACATTCCTGGTATTTAAATTAGAGGTGGATATTGTATTGGACCATGCAGTTTTCCCATGCTAATGCATATACCCGTTTACTGTGCATTCATCTTCATCTCTCATCTCTCCCTCCCCCAGATTGGTAAGATCTGCAGTGTTGTAAAAGGACCTTTGCTGCTGGAGGGATATGGGTTTGTTTTTTTGTGCAGTGAGACCACTTCAGTAGGATTTTGAGAGGAGGGATAATTGTTTGCTAGTTAGCAGCTTTGATGGAATAAGCTTAATAGAAACCAAAAGTTGCCTGTGAAAGTCATCTGTGGATAACTGTTTAGAATTATAGTCTTTGTTTACACCCAGGGACCAAAAGTCATGCTTGCCATATTTTTAAGTTTTAAATCTAGGAAATGTATCCTTCTGAGGACTGGTGAGATCCTGAGAGCTAGCTCTGGTTCCAAGAACCAGCCCACGTGTTAAATGTAAGATGTGCCTCCGTAGAGAATGGCACAAACTTTCTGACCAGAAGCAGGACAAATAAAAGGTTGAAACCTGAAGTACAATAAAGCCCTTGGCAGTCAGTCGTTCTGAAACCCATACAGCTGGTTGCTGCTAAATAAAGAGTTTGAGGTGTCGTAAGGAGAAGCTGTCTACTGTCACGTGCATTAAAAATGTGCTGGATAAGTTATTCACTAGTGAGATTTTATTTGCCAGTTTCAGCCTATGTTCTGCTCTGCTATTTTTGGTCTCTTTTCAAGTGTTACCTACACTATTTTCATCAGAAGAAAATGGATCCCCCATTTCAGGAAGGCAATTATCCCTTCCCTAGTGATTGAACCGAAGTTCTTTAAGACTTTGAGGATCAGAGTGAAAACAGTGGTCCCTTTTGTCTGCAACTGGTTTACAGTCACAGAGCTGTAGAGCAAAGCTGTCACTCTGCTACAGTCGGGCAATCGAAGGGATGGGGTCCTTAGTGTTGGATGTGGCAGCAGCCAGTGTGTTGGTGCAGGAGAAATTCAAAGGAAAAACTTGGGCTGAATTTTAAAAGTCACTTTCTGACTAATGATGATACCTGTAGGTTTATGAGCTAAGGCCATGAATGAGGCAGGCTCTTAGAGTTGGAGTCAGTTTGCATAATTCACAGAAACAGCTTTGTTCTGTGAAGTCCATTCAAAAGTCAGCCAAAAATAGAGCCTATGCATGCACCAGACCTCAGGGGCTGGAAGGATAGATGCAGTCATTCGCAAGTGTATTATTCCCTACCCAGGATCTGGTTTGCGTTGTCAGCAAGAGAGTACGATCCTTGTAATTGCTTCAGAGCATAATGGGACGAATTTGTAAAGAGGGTCATTTGGGTCTTATGTTAGCTGATAACGTTTTGTTTCAAATGCTGCAATTATTTGGCATTTCTTTTCAGTGTCACCAAGTATTTATGGCTCGGATGACATCTCTCAGCTGACAGTAATTGAAGGGAGCTTGATAAGCCTGATATGTGAGTCTAGTGGCATCCCACCACCCAGTCTTACCTGGAAAAAGAATGGTGAGTAACCATCCATTGTCTGTTTTATAAAGCAAATGTGATAATTCTGACCTGCCAGTTTTTCTTTTTCCCTGTGAACATTTTAGATAGTGTGTTCTGAGGAGTTCAAACATGCAGATGTCTAAACAATCCTGATATTGAGTAAAATGAACCACAACAGTAGATGATTCCCTTCTCTTTAACTCACCTCTACTTGGATTAGGTGTCATTATTCCTAAAGACGTGCAAGAGAAGCACAATGCAGAGATTCCTGAGGTGGCTCAAAAATGGACAGTTTATACCTGTTAGTGAAGCACTTAACCCCTCTCAATATGCTTATTTACCACGGTGCAGCAAGGCAGCATCAAGACTTACTTGTGGACGCCAGCCGGCAGGGCTGTGAGTCACTGTGAAGTCCCGTGGTGCTGTGTCGAGGGTCTCTGCCCTGTGATCCACTGCATAACATAGACGTATCCTCTGCGTTAGTTTTAAATTTGCAGCCATGGCGTACTGCCAAGTGATGAAAATGCATCCAGTTGTTGTAATTGCTTTTGGGATTTACTGAACCTTTCTCTCATCCCATCTCAATAGTTAAGAGTAGTCTGCACACCTTTTTGCTTTAGGGGTTAAAGTAACATTGACAAACACCTTCTTATGAATCCATAGACAAAAGCAGGTATTTTTAGCACCTTCTTTTAAGCATGGACACTGTTGGAGACAGAATATTAGACAAAGTAAGATGTTGAACTCTTCAGTATGGTAATTCTTGTGTTATTAATCAATCTTACCTATTCATCTGTGTCTTTCTAGACGGCACAATTCAGTGTGGTATGTGCCTACCTTAATTAATTTTGGCTTATGGAAAGAGCAGATTTTAATTACAAAACACTGTTTCTAATGCATAAAATTTTCAAAGAAAATGAAGTTTATCAAGTTCTTTTTAGACCCTGTCTCTTGGAAGCCAAAAAGTCATTGTATGACGTGTTCTGATAATGTACTGCAAGGCCAAAGTGTATACAAATGGCAGAAAGGAAACTTGAACCTATTGGAAAGTCTAGAAAGGGAGTTAGAAAGTAGTACAGTTTGGAATGTTACTTGAGAGCAAGATTTTTCATCACGTTTGACATTTGGTGCACTCGTTCATAGGGAGGATTTTAAATGCACAAGTGGGAAGTGAAAAATCAGCTGGTAATAATTATCAGTGGCAGGTGTATTCTTTCTGTCACAAAGTCTCCCTGCGGTTTGTAAAGATGAAGATAGTTGCCTAATCTGATGTCTCCAAGATAGAAAATTCTGCTCAGAGAATGTAATACTATTTTGCTGTCATGTTTCTGCGGAGGATTTCCTGGGCAGAAGTGTATGCACACGTGCTGCGTGACACGCAATATACAGGTGGTCCAGCTATGCAGACTAACTTACATGTTTCTAAGCACTGGCTGTGCTGGGTGAGATGATTATATACTGGACAATGAGTCAGATTTTTCTGAAAGTGTTGAATTTACTGCTCAGTGGAAGTGTCCAAAATTTTCTGGATGGATGTGAGTGTGGTGAGAGTTATTGTGCTTTAGCTCAGGTTGCTGTATGTCGTGAAGTCAGCACTTAATATGGGAAGTCCTCAGAATCTGCTTGCTTGAAGTTTCTGATGTCTGGGAAAACTCTGATAGAGCAGTTGTAAAATGGACAATTGTGCAGCTCAGTAATTTTTAAACGAGCCAGTGGACTTTACACCACCTGAGCAAGCTCATTACCGTTTTCTGTGTTTTTATCTGAAAGAATGTCTCTTGCAGGCTCTCCATTGGTGGCTGACCTTTTGGGAAGGGTGCGGGTATTATCTGGAGGCAGACAGCTACAGATTTCAATTGCTGAAAAGTCTGATGCTGCATCTTACACTTGTATTGCTTCAAATGTAGCTGGAAGTGCAAAGAAAGAATACAGTTTGCAAGTATACAGTAAGTTACCATGAAAAATTATGTTCATAGTTTACCAGTTCTGAAATAGAGTTATGTTATGAAAGTGTTATCAGTACAGTGATGTTAAGCTGCAGGATTTTCAGAGAGTAATGTCTAGCTATAGGACAATTTCAGGGTACTCCGAAGAGAATGTGAAGTATTAAAGTTTTGACACTTTGGACTCAGAGCTTGACCAAGACGCTGCATATACCTGTTGAAAGTGCATTTGACCACAGATGATTATGAGGATGTAACCGCTTTAGGGGTTAGTTAGTGTCGTGTTTCTTGTCACCAGACTGTAGTAGTGATGACAACTAATTGAACTTAGATTTCCAGTTTTACTGCAAATTCTGTATTTCAGTCAGGAATAAAAGGAGGTATTTTTAAACAATCCCATGAAAGAGAAAACCTTCAAAAATCTATAGGGATTGATAGCATCTATTCTAAGCATTTGGGGCAGTCTTTTTTAATTTAATTTTTTTTCCTGTTTGCATTTTAAAAATTGCTGTAAGATACATTTTAAAAAACATTTTTACTTTATGAGGTGGCGAGAGGGGGAGGTTATTTGTCTTTTCTCAGCCCTGTGGAAAATGCTGTGAATTGCAGAGTGCCCCTAACTGATTTGCTGGCAGTAACCCACAATAAGTGGTCTTTCTGAAAATGCTGATCTGGCAAACTTGATTGTTGTTCTGTTCAGAAAAAGGTGAAGATCCTGAAATGTCGCTTCCAGTTGACTTCTAAACTGTGTTTCTTTTTCTTTCATAGTTCGACCAACTATATTAAACAGTGGTAGCCACCCATCAGAAGTTGTGGTCACTCAAGGAAATGAAATTTCCTTGGAGTGCAAGGTACAGGGCATTCCAGAACCAGCAATAACGTGGATGAAGGATGGCCGTCCGCTGGTCAGTGGAAGGGACGTAGTGATACTTCATGATGGTCACTTTCTTCAGCTGAAAAATGCCCAGGTGTCAGACACTGGCCGCTATGTCTGTGTTGCTGCCAATGTGGCAGGGCTGTCTGACAGAAAATACGATTTAAATGTTCATGGTGAGTGTATGCAAAATGGGGCAGGCATAACAGAAACAAATTAGACCTTTAAGTTCACCAAAGGACACCCAAGAAATACTTGTGTGGCTAAATGCACCACCTGTATCTATTGCAGGCTTTACATGTGATGCAGTTTCAATTGCAGATCAGTGATGCAGTTTCAATTGCAGTGTTACAAAAATCCAAATCCCATTTTATAACTCCTGAATATTTTAAAATCTTACCTCTGTCCCTGTTAATATCAGTCCACCCCCAGTTGCTCCATGTCCTGAGAGGAGAAAAGCAAGATATGGTATAATTTTATACGATATTGGGGTGAGTGTCATGGTGGAAAATATTCTATTGTAGGAGATAGAAATCAAGGTTTAACTGAGAGCACCCTGCTAGTGGCTGCTACCAGGGGACAGTTAAAGAAGAATTTAAAGATGGTACCTCCAACTATAATTCATCTCCATAATTTGACTTTTTGATCGGAACATCACGTTATCTTACAGCCCCTGTAATTCTTTTACATATGATTTTTTGTGCTTCATTGAACACTGACTATTCATGTTTTACTGTGAAAGTAAACACAGGAATTCTCATTATTGAAAATGAGAAGCCTAAATTATTTACCAGTTTTATTTATGTATTTTTTTATTTGGGATGTTTGCTGTACTGTATTATCAAACTTCTGGGTAGTAAAAAGAAACTTTAAACCTCCTCAAGCTACTCAGAGTGCTGGAGGATGTTGGTCATTTCTTGACCGCAGGCATTATGTTCTAAAGTATGAACTGTAGAACTGCAGAACTGCTTCCAGAGTGGAAATATTAGCAAAGAAAAGCTAAAAATAAATTTGCGGTAGTTATTTTAATAGGGAGTTGTTCTTTCCATTAGAAGAAGCATGTAATTCTGTCAGTGTTAGAATTTTCCCTAAGTGTTTAATTAGATACTGGAAATTATAATTAGCATAGAATGGACAGAACTACGATAAAATGTTATTCGCTAGGGATCTTAAGCCGTAAAATAAAGGTAATAGAACTGATAGAATTTAATTTTAATATTTCCATGCAGTTACACAGTAAGAAATTGTCATTAATATATAGTACTGAATGTCTCAGTTTTTTAGCCCTTCACTTGGTAAGCTTATCTTAGCTTCAGTGAATTATTATTTGGATGACAGAATGTTTTAATTTTTATTTGTTCTGAAGTATGGCTTTTCTTTACTCTTGTTCTGTAGTTCCCCCAAGTATTGCTGGTGACCTGCAGATGCCTGAAAACATCAGCATTGTGGAGAAGAATCCCATCTCTATGGTTTGTGAAGCTTCAGGAATTCCCTTGCCATCAATAACATGGCTCAAGAACGGATGGCCTGTCACTTTGAACAACTCAGTGCGAATCCTCTCAGGTACAAAAGCTGTAATTATTTTTAAAAAAAAAAAAAAAAAGGAAAGGAGCGAAGGGCCCTCTGCATCTATAGTGCGGGTATTTCACATAAAAAAAGGTTTGGTTTAATAATCTGTAAAGACAAGGAAAGAAGAGAAACTGTTATTCAATGCCAAGCTTTTCAGTAAATGGGGTCAGATTTGCTGGAGTGCCTGGTGAATAGCTAACGTAAACTTTTAAAGTTGTTACCAAACTTTGTGTATGGGCCAAAGGCGTGCTAACTATTTGGTCTGTGACATGGAATAAGCCATTATTCTGGCTGTTAGTGTATGTTAGTCCAATGCTTATTTCCAGAAATATGTCAGATGGTAACATCTTGCTTTGTCAGTGCCAGTACGTGTACTGCATTAGCTCTCCCATTTGATTAGTTTTCTCTACTTCTTCCTCTTCACAGTTATTTTACCCTTGAAAGATGAAAAATCTTTGAGAGAATGAATACGTATGACAATAAACAAAACACATCTTTCATTTCTGTGGGTCTGTATATAAAAACAAAGGGGAACCTGATCATAGGCCTCAGAAATTAATGCATGTAAATACTTCCTGGCATTGGAGCTAACTGAATCTGATCTTCAGAATGTCATCTAATAAAAGCTGGAATTAGGCGATCAGTCACAGCACAGAATGCTGCATTAGCCAGAAGACTAGTCCAAGGGATCTGGAGAAACTTGTGATAGGCAAGCAGAGAAACAGATCCGATTCTTCAGGTATCTTGATTTTCAACCTGGAATAACTCACGAAGAACTAGTTCAGTGCCTTTTTATGACAGTAGTAATTGACAGAGGTGTCCAAAATAGGAGGGGCTCAATACCTGTTCCTGTAAACCATCTTCCTGCAATACCATAGGGAAGTGAGAGTACTTGACTGGCAGCTGCAGTGATGTTAAAGCTTTGCGTTTACAATAGGAAATTGAGTTAATTTGTTGAGATTACAAACGGAAAACACGTACCAAGCAGACAATACGTTTTGCGTTGACTTCATGTGTCTGGGGATCAGCTTTGTGGAGTGTGTAGAAGTAATTAAGTATCTGGTTACGACTGAGATGTATAGACGACAACTGAGATGTTTCTTTGATCTTGGGTTTGCCACTCCCAGCTAGAAATCTCATGAAAATAAGTTTTGATGAAGTTTCTAATACTCTGACATAGCCACCATGCAAAGCCAAGCCGTCCTACAGCATGAACACAAGAAAACTATCAGACAGGCAAAGGAACTGGGAGGTGTTTAGAAACTCAGCTAAGAGTGGATTTGAAGCTGGAATTTTTCAGGATTTTTTTCATTCGTGTAGCTTTTAACATTACAGGTAGTCCTGTCTTCTGCTCTCCCATTTTTACATACAGCGCATGGAAAAAAGGGTGGGTGTCTGATTATTATCCAGTATAAATCTGACTATCGGAGTTTGTGTGCGTTCCTTTTTGTGTGAAGTTGCCATCAACAAAACTAATTTCTTCTGGGCTTGATTGTTTCTGTTCTGTCTGTTGATTTCTACACCCACACTAATATCACCACCCAGATCGCAGAGTCAGGAAGGGTGAGAGACAAAAAGATGTTTATTGTCTCTGAATGTTAGCTGCAGTGGGAGTGGGGAAACAGGCCAGAACTCAGCGCTTTGTTTTCCAGCAAACTTTGTGCTTTTGTGCAGTTCTTTAGAAAACTACACATCGTGGTAGTGAACTGTAACCAACATGGCATTTGGAACTTTATTTGTGCTTGTACAGCTGTAAAAAACCAAAACCACCACCAACAAAAACCCCTCTTTGACTAATTTAAGAGGTAAAATACTTTGCCAAAGCAAGATTTTGGTTCTGTTGATTGAAAACATACTTGGCATTGTAGATGATTTAAATGTGTGGACACACTGTTGGCAACTTTGAATCTGTTAATTCAGATACTATGCTGATGTTTTCTTTTAATGATGCTTCCTGCATACTTTAGGAAAAGAAGAAGAAAATTCCACCATACCACATCTGCTTTCCTTGCAGACCATGCATTAAGCTGCATACTAGCTTTAGGAGGGAGAAAAGCTTTTATTAAGTTTTAGCTAAATGCAGAAAATCATATCCTGCCTCAGCACTGGAGCCCTGGGTGTGCAAGTATGTGATACCATAGAAAGTTACAGTCTCCTGCGGGCAGATATCTGCTTCATTTTGCTTCTTATATGGCTTTGTTCAGGATGTGGATGGGAGAAAGGATCAGGGTGACATGAGTCTGCAAGAACTGTCTCACAGTACTCCCTCCAGCAGGTAGGATTCCTTGAGCAGAGGCCCATCCATCGAGCAGGTCAGCAGTTTCTTCCTTCAAAGCACATGACCAGGAACATAAATTTCTGGGATGTGTCCCAATAATGAGACCCTGTGGATATCCACAGGCAGGACATGCACAGTTCAGATGTGATGTACTGTGAGGTAATGATTGCTAATGCAACAGCTGCTAACGAGAAACTGGAAAAGGCTGAAGGATGGCCACCACATTTGTTTTCACACTTAAATGCTCACTGATGTTTGTTTTGCTGTTCCTCTGCCAAAAAGGAAGCAAAGAGAAATTATGCTGCTAGGGCAAAGCAGGGATATTCTTGGTCCTTTGGTCAAACATATTTGCATATCTTCTTCCTTTTAAACTGGCATGCCTGTGCAAATGTGTTCTGACAACTGCTCTGCTATAGTGTTATGAGAAATATGTTATTTTAAAACATTACGTGTAAACCAGTACTGTTGTCACCTGTTATTATTATTGATGGCACAATTAATACAAATGCTAGAAGAGAGGAGTGGAATTTTATTCCTTTTGTGTACATGTGAAAATACCTTTATGGAGTGTTTGTGTGTGTTTATAAAATAAACTTATTTTTGTGTGTACACCCCCCCGCCCCCCGCCCTGCTCTGATGAGGCTTTTATTATTTTTCCTGGATAATCATCTGGATTTTCAATATAGCAAAGTACTCATGTGAAACAAAAATCCTGCTGTCTGAGACACTGTATTCTGTCAAAATTTCCTGCATAGAAGTACATGCACGAATCCTGCATATTGCAAACACAGCATCCCTGCCACATCCAAAGTGTCTGTGCTGATCAACGAATTATATGTGCTCTGTACCCCTGCATGTAGTTTGAGTGACCTGTGCGGAGCAGGTTCGATTTTCTCTGCACCAACTCTACAGATGTGTCTCAAAGGTTTCAGTGATTGTTCCGGTTGGTCTCTGACTTCCTCCAGAAATTCTCAGAAAATGTTTGAATGCCTCAAAGTTCACTTAAATGTAATTTCTGTCAGGGTAGTTTGGAAGTCACTGGCTAGAAAGAATAGTATGATCAGTATTAAGCACAGATTTAAAAGCACTGAGGAGCTGAGGGCCTGAGCAGACATACGGAAATGATGGAGTAGGAGTAAGGTCAGTCACTTTCTCTTACTGTTTGTTCAACAAAACAAAGCACATTAAAGAAATAGACCACATTAAAAAAATTTACAGCTGTAAATTTAACCAAAACGTAAAACAAAATTAAGAGTTAGCCCATACAGTTTGGGAGCATATTGGTTGGAGCAGGACTTTAATGTTTGTATGTTTTTTGGCTTTCTCCTCAGGGGGCAGAACGCTCCGTTTGACACACACGAGCGTAGCAGATGAAGGTCAGTATACTTGCGTAGTGACCAATGCTGCGGGAGAAGTGAGGAAGGATTTTGACCTTTCTGTTCTAGGTAAGTACATGATAATTTTTGTTACAGTAGAGGAAGGTGAGGGGGTCTACTGTATACTTTGCTGGTATTTTAAAAATTATTATGCCAAAACATGTGTCCTTAAGGGAAAAAAAAAAGTGCATTTTGATAACATCGTCAGAAAATCAGGTTTTAAAGGGAAGTTACTTCTACATGTGAATTTGCTGTTTGTTTAGTTTTTAAAATTAAGATTCTTCAGGCATAATTTGGAATAACTGGCAGCTACTTCTGTTTTGTGGTTTGTTTGGGGTTTTTTTCTGAAAAGGAGCTATGTCAATGTAACTGGCTTCAGTTAGGTTATTATTTCAGTTGGATGGAAGTCTGGGGGATGCTGACAGCCAGGCTCCCATTCCGTCTTCTGTTTCGTGTTGCTCATAGCTTCACTCTCCCTTGGGCGTGATGAACAAGGTGAATCAGTTTATAGCTGATCTGAAAAGGTGGGGGTTTTGTGTTTTCCTGGTCAGGTTAATTTTCAGCCAGATCAGTTCCCTGCTGGTTCATCACACAGCCTATAAATACCAGTATTGGTGAAAGAAAGATGACAAGAGTTGAGTGCTCAGGGGAATAGTGCTATTTCTTTCGGCACCGGCCTGAATTTAAGCTGGTTTAAATCAGAAGAAAACTACAGCCTCAGGAAACCATCTGAAATTCATGTGAATCTGTTGCATCTAATGCTCAAATGCAGAAAGGCGCAACCCCATATGATAACACTCATGAATTAAAAGCAGCATTATTGTGCAGCAGTGGTGTAATATGTATAGCTGAGTGGCATGATGGTAATAATCTGTTGCAACAAAGATGCGAAGGCAAAGCCAAGTCCAACAGGGAAATTAAACACTGGAGCTGGAATTGTTTTTGCAAAATAGAGATCTCTGATTCAGTGGAAACCTTTAGTCAGTAGAGCCTTTGGTGTTGTAAAACATATAAACCAAGCGTGGTAGTGGGTGATCGTGCTAACATATTTAGGCAAGGACTAGTACAGCGGGCTCTTTAGATGGCTATTTGGAACCCTTAATATGTAATTTTGTCACATTACTTATTTTTTAAAAACAGTATTTTTCCCAGGAAATACTGCTTTTTGGTTTAGTAACTTTTTGTTATTTTTATCAATAGTTACCAGATCTGATGCAGGTTGTCTTATAGCATTACTGTATATAATTTTCCTGTAAGTTTCTTTTCTCTAAGGTGCTGAGTGCTATCAGCTTCCCTTGCCTTCAGCTGACTCGTGCATATTCAGCCTGTAAATGATAACTCACATTCATGTCAGTTCATGTTTATTTGATGAGCTCATGGAAGTGTAAGTCTGGTAGAATGGAAGAGATGGATAAACACTGAAAAGCATTCATTGTTTCACTGTTTTCTTTGGAGGGTTTTAGTAGCAGGGTGTTCATGAGGGTTCTGGAAATCTCTCTTGCATAGGCTTTGTTTGCCTTGAAGAAAAATGTTCAGTGAAGCTGATTTCAAGTGGGTTAAGTGGAAAATTCCATTATTCAGTCTTCTCTTCCCTCCCCCAGTAATTTCTTTGTCTTTCTAGAGGAAAGTTACTGGAATGTGGCCTGATAGCGACACAGAATATTCACTGGCTCACTGTAAATAGGAACCGTACAGAGACATCCCAGTGTTTCTCTAAATTGGTGTAGCAGTTGCAACAGGCGAGCCGGTTTGCATGGAGATCTTGGTATAATAAGCATAATATTTATATATTTGCAAAATGTTTGGTGTGGCTTTGTCATATTTCTGAAATTAATATGTGTTGACATCTTACTGCATTATTTTGGGGCCAAAGCAATGAGTTGCTCTGTTTGTTTATGAATAGTAACTTTTGGCCTGACTTAAAAGTCCTGAACTTTGATTTTAGCTTATATTTTCCCCCACCTAATTCCTTCACTAGTTGATGCTTCTTTGTCTCATTGCATTTGGACAGTAGAACCCATACGAAAGTCTGTTTTGCATTGCCTGTACAGTCACAGCAGGGAATTTGATCATAACTGCATCACAAGTTGGTGAGAGTGCCAGTACTGGACACATCTTCCTGCATGCTAAATTCTACTAACCCACATCTCACGATGTGTCCTGTTCAGAGGTCAACTTTTAGCCACGCTGAAGTAGTATCTTTGCCATACCAGTCAAGTGAGATGCAAACCTCTTAGAATTTTTTTTTTCTTCTTCACTCTAGTTTGTACTCTTCATTAGTATCAAAAATTTGGTGTAACATTATTTTTCTCTGTTGACAATGAATTCTGCATATTACCGTGATTCTTATTTTTATGAAACTTTTGCTTCCAACTTAGTGGTAGATCACAAGTAAGCTGCTGAATATGTTTTAAGTCCTCTCTCTTTAGGTCTTCTATCTAGGCTGAAAGTTTGCATTTTGTAGGATTATTAAAGCGTAGTATCTGGCTCCCTAGTCCGGCATTGTTGTTACAAAACGTTCCAAAATCTCCTGGACATTGGGCTTTCTTTCTTGTAACTATAGGCCTCCTTTTCAAGCTGTTATACTCCATGCCTACTTTGATTTGTAAAGTGCCATTTTCTTTTGGCCTGAATCTACAAATGCCTCTACTTTGAAAGAAATAGTTGATCAGAGCTCTTCGCCACCACAACTACTCACCAACACATTCATAATCTGGCATCCCTCATCCAATAGCACATTAGTCTGTGTAGTCCTGTTGACCAAGATTATTTGGAAGCAAGTCATCAAGTAAGAGTTTCCTTGTATTGAGTTAGCTATTTGGGGGGTGGTAGGTATTTTAAGGGTATGGTTTTGTCTTCTATTTCCCTAGAGAAACACAGTTTGTACCACAGCAAGATGCCTATATAGTTTATTCACCTGCCCGAATGGAATTAACTGTATTTGCATTAAACACATGTATGCTTTTACACAGGGTCCACTTGTTGGTAATCTATTGTATTGCTTTGAGCATGCTGGTAAGGAAAAAAAACCACACATGGTATGTGAATAGACAAGCTGACTCTTATTTTTTTTAAATCAGTTCTTTACCTACAGTTCTAGATAGATGCTTTCAATTACCGTTGGAAAACAAACAACTCTTAAACTTAAGCACATGGTTTTGAACAAATAAATCACTTGCTGCTTAATATGGGTGATAGAAATAGTTTACAAACTTACAAAACCTGCTGCTGCATAAAATCAAACCTGGCCTCACTAACCAGTGCTCATCACCATTGCCCTACTGACCATACTCAGAAATATTGCTCTGCAGACCATACTCCTCAGCACCCTGAGTATCTCTCTAGCTCTGAAGACTGAGGTGAGTACTTTATGGGTCTGTGGTCCTCTCTTGCCCTTTGCGTGGACTTTTATGGTTCAGGGGTGCAGAACAGAGTACATGTCTGTTGTACAGGCAGGTTAGCTCTGCACTGTCTCACATCTGGACCTGTTTCTGGTAGATCTGAGCCGGTCATTGATTGATATGATTAAGGGAAGAACACACTGAGATATAGCCTGAGTGTGTCTTTGTTGCGTTTAAATTGGTTGTAAGTAATACTCGCTAACGTTGTCTTCTTGTCTGCTTGCAGTGCCTCCAGGGATTGTGGGTGAAAATAAACTGGAAGATGTGAAAGTGAAAGAGAAGCACAGAGTTACCCTAACATGTGAAGTGATAGGTAAAAGTATACAATATTACTTATCTTCACTGCTCAAACCCATGGTGTCAATCATCATTGTTTCTGAACAACGTGTTTTAAATGGCATTTTCAGTTCAGTGGAATTTTTAAATTTAACCATGGTGCTTATAGCAGGACTAAGCACTCCTTCTTACAAAGGTTGTATAAAATGTAACCAAGAGGATAGTTGCTGTGGTATTTCTTCTTTAAAGGCCTGTGGAATTTAAGAGGAGGTGTATATTACTTCAGGAGGTTCGAAGACTTTAAAATATGTATTCCAAAGCATCTCCCTAAAGGACATATTTGAAAAGGGCATCTGAAACTGTATTTTTCTGTTTTTCAGAAATCTTGACATATCCTGGAGGCTATGCAACGACTAATATTTGCAATTTTCTTTACTCCGTTAAGGGAACCCTGTACCGCAGATCATCTGGATAAAGGATGGGCAATCTCTAACTGAGGATGAAGATCACAGGTTTCTGTCCAGTGGGCGTTTCCTGCAAATCACCAATGCCCAAGTCACTGACACAGGAAGATACACATGTATTGCATCCAATACAGCTGGAGATAAGAGCAAAAGTTACAGTCTTAATGTACTTGGTAAGACAGCTGGGCTGGCTCTTGCAGAGAAAATATTAATCTCAGGAAAAAACAGATAATCGCATTGGAATTTTGTAGTACTTTAATTACAGTGATGCTTAAGTTGCCTGACTACGATTAAAATTTTATAGCTTAGTAATTGATAAATAATAGTAGTTCAATAGAAACAGCAGTGTTCTGTGCTTTAGACGACAATATAGAGCTAGAAAATACGGAGCTATAACAGGACATTGTCTGTATGGAATGAGTGGGACAGTACATTGGTTTATTATGATTCAAGGAAGGAGTATCTGAAGAGCACTTCAGATTGTGATCTCTCCAAAAAAGCTGAAACCATCTGCAGTTCTCTTTTTTTCGTGACGGTTATTGCACAACCAAATGCAAACAATGGCGAGTTTGTTTTCCACATCCTCATTTCCTAGGCTCATGCGTCCTACCAGTGTGCTGCTTACAGGATCATCGTGCAGCGGGTCTGCCAGCTGCTGCGCAAGAGGTGGTGGCTGGCTTCCTGGTGACCTGTGTTTGACAAAGGCTAAGGGGGGATGGAATCCGCCGACACGGGCTGACCGTTGACTTCAGGACAAAGCATAAAACCAGATGAATGTTGTCTGCTTCTGGGTTTCAGTGCGCCTCGTAGGAATGCC